TGTGTGTGTGTGTGTGTGTGTTTCATTTGTAGCATTGTGTGTTCAGTGATGTCAGTGGGTGGCTATGGTCACTAAGCATTATTTCCGCCTTTTTTAGAACGTTTGATTTGTGCAGATATTCAAAGTTACTTAGGTCTCTACCAATATAATTGTTCTTGATGCCTTTCTGGTCAACTTGTATATTTTTATGATGAGCTGTCTTGCTACCATAGCTACAGATACCATTTTGTATCAAAGTTTCTATTGTGGTGGTGTAGAATATCTGAAGGATGGATAGATTCAGATTGAAAGACCTAAGTTTCAATGACAATGACAATATTTATTCATTTTCCTCAGAAAGTACAGCCTCTGATTTACCTTTTTAACAATACCGTTTACCCCATAGTTTCATGACAACTTTTGAATCGTCTGAAATGTTCACATTTTTTTGTCTTTTTCGAATTAGCAGAAATAAGTCCTCAATGACCCCAGACCTGTAAAGGATTAACTTGACCAGCAGTTGTAGAATGACCAGTCGGCGTCATCAATGATTTAAAGCCTTACCTTGACCAGTAGCGTTTGCCTCGGGGTTTCCTGTGCCATCCTACAAAAATCTTCCTTATTTTTTTAAATTTCAGTTGCTCAGTTGACTCTGTCTAATTCACAAAAACAATATAATTGGTCGCTTTTAAGCACAATGGGGTTATCCTCAAAAATGCTGTTTTGAGAAAATCGAAGGTAAAGTTTTAGGACTCTTGTTCAGTGTCTTTAAAAGACAAGAGGAGTTTTCTCTATAACCAAACAAATATACACACAAATAAAACCAAACTTCTGCTATAGGTAGGGCAATGCCCACTTTTGGTGTAGCTCAAGATTTTTGGAAACCCCCGAAATCTGGGTTAGTCCGCTTGTCCTTAAAAGCGACTAATTGTACGGAACATTTCTTTGGATATCTGTCATTTTCTAAGTGTATAAGTCTGCACCGGAATTTAATGACACAGAGCCTATAGTGAGAATATAATAATTAGATCTAGTTCTTCCCACTTCGCTTAGAACTAAACACTTGGGTGTAACTTTGCCAAGACCCAGAAAGGCTTTCCAGAATTTTACCTGAACATTGTCAATCACGTCCCAATTTTTGGTACTCCAAATTCCAGAGCCATAAAGTATAATTGGTTTAATCTTAATGTCAGTTTTTCTTTTTCTAAATCTAATTTTTGGTATGAACTGAGAAGCCATCTTGTTCGAGCAACAATCCACTGAGCTTACAGGCTCGATCTTCTAGCGTTCATCCTCGTCCGTGACAGGCAGGTTGAATGCAACCCCCCCCCC